ATTCTGCATTAATAACAACATCAATATTTCACTTTTCTGTAAGTCAAAGGTAATAGGGAAAAACAGGGCCATAGTCAAACCTGATTCATCATCTGATATCAGACGTTTTAGCTGACACGAGGAATCTATTTGCTGCTACAAGAAAATACCAACTTCATTTTCAGTGAAGCTATGAACTTGTGCTGTTGGAAAAGCTGCTTTGAACATTATCTTCCAGCATGGGGATTGTTTTGTTTCTTCTTAAGTGATTAACTTTAGAATTAGACCTACAAAATGGATGAAAATCAAAAGTGAACATAGATTTTTATCCGTGTTTTTATTAGCATTTATTGCTCCTTAATTACGCAAAGCAGAAGTAGTAACACCACTGCAACCTTGGGGCAGGGGGAAGGAAGGAAAAGGAAGCTGGCAAGAGCAACACATTAATAAATGCTTTCAACAATTAACAGTGCAATCTCACAGCTCAAACATTTACATGCATCCTCTCCAACTTTAAGACAGTAAAAATTGAAACATGATACACCTCTCACAGCTCAAGACTATTTCATTGCACACACTGCTTCAGGGTACAGAAGGGAATCAGCAGCCCAAGCAGTGTTAGTGCTGGCCCATCGTTCGTTCACAATGCCCTTGCTCACTTCCCGAAAAAATGAGCGACACGGGTCTGACACAGTGCAGTGTAAAACTGGTTACAGAGGACGTCATAAAAATGAGGCTTTTCAATTGTTTCCAAACACCTATATATTTAACTTGCCTATGCAAAAACTTACACGCATATTAAAATAATTAAGCTGCAGCTAGACATGAAGAGTAAATAACCATCAAGATACAGTTGTTTCCAAGCCCCTAATGACACTTAAAACTTGGTGAAGATGCAATGGCTAAACTGTGGGCAAGTAGTTATCCAATCTCACTTCTATTCAGAGGGCTGGAGCCCCTCTGCTATGGGGACAGGCTGAGAGAGTTGGGCTTGTTCAGCCTGGAGAAGAGAAGGCTCCGGGGAGACCTTATTGCAGCCTTCCAGTACCTGAAGGGGCTACAAGGAAGCTGGGGGGGGCTTTTTACAAGGGCCTGTAGTGACAGGACAAGGGGGAATGGGTTTAAATTGAAAGTGGGGAGGTTTAGATTAGATATCAGGAAGAAGTTCTTCCTGGAGAGGGTGGGGAGGCACTGGAACAGGATGCCCAGAGAAGCTGTGGATGCCCCATCCCTGGAAGTGTTCAAGGCCAGGCTGGCTGAGGCTTTGAGCAACCTGGTCTAGTGGAAGGTGTCCCTGCCCATGGCAGGGGGGTTGGAACTGGATGGGCTTTAAGGTCGCTTCCAACCCAAACCGTTCTATGATTCTATTGTTCTACAAAGAGTTCCAACAACACCAGGACCTAGAAACTGAACGTACGCAGAGCGCTACCAAATATGCATGGAAAACCCTCAAGTTACAGGTGGAGAGTGAACTGCTCCCAGGCAAGGGCTGGTGTCCGTCCTCCTCTTACACTAGTTCTCCCTCAAGAATGAAGGGGCTCAAATGCAACATGAGCTATCACTACGCAAAGGGGCCAAGGCTCTGAAAGCCCAGCAGTTCGATCTGCTCCCCTAGAGAAGTTCCAAATCGAGTTACCTTTTTTTGATGTCTACTAAACGGCATGGAGTATATACAATAAAGCATTAGTCTTACATTGTACATTCCATCTTCAGAGTTTCACTCGTTATTTCACTTATTAGATGAAAGTGGCTGCTGCATCCATCCCTTCTACGCTGTCCAGTATCCCAGTCTTGAAATCACTCAGAGAATATAAAGAAACATGAATTTTGTACTCAAAGTATACGAAACAACATAGTTCAATTCTACCTTGAAAAAGAAGTTATGTTGCCAACCTGTTTCTTTATTCAAGGACAAGAGAGTTTCAAGAAGTTTCAACAATGACTCATAAGGGATGATTCATCATTAATTCTCCATGTTACCAAAGAATTAGTCAATCAATCTAGGCACTTCAACAAAACCTCCTAATGTACCTTCCAGATAAAACATTTGTGCAAGTTGTTTGATAGTCATTTCTTCATTAAAGAGCCACTTCCACCTGAAAGGGCAGTCATACAATTAACAGTGAGAAAGGGCTCAGAACACACCTACTCCTACTTGCAAGACAGGCACTTAGAGACGTCTTCACTGCTTGCTGAAATATCTTACTGTGACCACTGATGGTGCTTGTATGTTAATTAAACAGTAAAAGTGTTAATTTTTGTTGAGATATCTCAACATAATTTTGCATGTTTGTATCCTAGTGGTGATTAAGTTGCTTATCAAACCATGCCCTAAAACAATGTCTTAGTTATTTGGCTTGAAGCATTTTTACAGGGAAAAAGGTAATTGGAGGTTTAGTGTTGTTGCCTTTTTAATCAAAAACTAGCATTATTTTGTAATGCTAGCACAAGTATTTCTAAACCAAGGTTTCTACAACAGCAGATATACTTAATTTTGAAAAGCTGTGCCATAGCAGTAATAAAAAAAAAAGCACGAGTATGACTAACAGCAGTCACACTCCACCCAACACATCCACCCTTGCTAAATCCAAATACTCCAGATGACAAGCAACCTTTCCATACTACTTGCCAGCAGTTGTTTCAGTTGAGCTGCCTTCACAGAATTCAAAAAGCACCTCTGAAATTCAACTGAAAAGCTACAATCCGTTACTACAGTATTGGTAAAGAAGAAATTATCATTCAAAGGAGTAGTCAAAAACCACTTTGTGGCTCAGCTTTAGGAAACCCATCCTTTGTAGTGCCTGCACATTGTGACTTCCAACCCCTCAGATGCTGACTCATGGATCATAGGAGTGGTAGATGGAGCAGGAAAGGGAGACAAGCTGAACAGAACGTAACTGCACATGGCCTTCAAAGGAAGGCTAAAGATGGGAAGGCTGCAGTAGACAGCCAACGTCTCCTCCCACCAAAGGAAGGCTCATCTTCGCCAGATGGGCAGGCCAGGAAAAGCGTGCGGAGCTGTAGGTTTCGGTCTTCCCTACTTCCTGCTGCCTTCCAGGCGAGAAAGGAAAGGGAGAGCTGCCAACCAGGCCATTGCTGAGGACAGAGAAAGACTAGAATGCAGGGAAAAATTAATCTCTACATCAGGAGTTTGTGTCAGCACAGCTACCAGACTTCCTGCTGCCTGCCATTTGATGCAACTGGAATAATTCCGGTATAGATGCCGCGTGAAACAGGTCGCTACCTTCATCATTCGGAGACCTTCGATCTCCCTATGGAAGTGGGAGCTCCTTGTCAAGACGGCACAGCAACCAGTATGAGGTTTTATGCATAACCTTCTTGTAGGAACTAGATTTGGTAGAAGGACAGAGGGAGATTAAGATGTCTGCAGAGTGAGCTCTATACTGAGGTGCCAAGAAGGTAGCTGTGAAGCGGGGCACTGAACAGTGATCAAGAGGGAGTGACAGCTGCCATCACCCAGGCTCTAGTGAAACTTGTCACAGGAAACAGGAATCAGCGCCTTACACAAGCCACATCATCATCACAAAGGAGAAAGTTTTACAACTTAACTACCTCTGTAACTGTAAAAATATCTTCTTTGGAAGACAGTGTCTTAATGTGTTAAGGATTTAACTCAACTGATTCATTAAGCTACTGAATTTCCCCATGATTTTCAAGCAAAGTAACTCATTTTGACCGATTTAGACAAAAAAAAAAAAACCCAACAACCTAGGTGGCGGCATCCAAGGAAGCATATAGGTGCTGAGGGACACGGCTCAGTGACGGACTTGGCAGTGCTAGGTTAACAGTTGGACTTGATGGTCTTAAAGGTTTTTTCCAACCTAAACAACTCCGCAATTCTGTGATTTTCAGCACAATCCAAAGAAGTACTCCCTTCTATGTGAGCCAGAACACTTAATCAAGAAGCAAATTCAGCTACTTCCAAACCAGTCAACTTTAAATTCAGGTCTCCTAAACCAGTCTAGGATACATTTACCTCAAAATTGTTTATTTCCTTATAGACTTGCTTCTTCCTGTTCTCATGTGAGCAACAAAAAAAAAAAAAAGGAACCAAGAAGAGCCAACAAACCACTGAAGATGATCTACCACACAATTACTATTGCATTACACACAGGCAGCTTCCTGCAGCCACAACTCCCTGGTCACGTCAAAGAGCGTCCAGCCGCCTCCACACTGCTGACACGCATCTCTTCAGCTCCCACTACAGTGCAGTACAGTTTCACTATCGATAGCATCTGGAATTCTGGTGCTTGTACTGAAATGTATTCCTGGGCTCTGATGCATGCTTGGGGCGTCATGCCAGTCTTCACACCCTGGTTTTACATTATTCTATAATTACTGCAAATTCATCTTAAAGATTCCCCTGAGAAGTCAGCTCTAATCTGACAAAGCCAATTTCTACATGTCTCTATTTCCTATCTTCAATACAGATGTCTTAATTCATATAGATCATGTTTTATATTAAAAAAACCCTCAAAATGTCTCTTAAAGACCCCTTGAGAGCATGTTTCTTCACAAGAAGTAAACAAAATGTACACCCAGTTACTTAAAATGCTTTTAACAGGTTATTAGCTCTGATCTGAAGAAACAGAGGTTTTCTCATTTTCTTTTCAGCTTACCTTATGAACAGATAAGGTTACTAACCACAGCACAAACAGGCACCAGGCTAAATTCTCTGCACCCCTGGAGTTACCTAGTGCAATACTGCATATGGATCACTTCATCCAAAAACCTACTCCAAATACGCATTCAAAATTGAGTGCATCTCAAATACCTCTACATATATGGGGCCCACAGCACAGTGCAGATGATCTTCCTCCTGACAGTGACCCACATAACGGTTGCAGAAGTTATGCACTGACGTCCCCTACCCCGGCATAATACTTCACTTGATATTCCCCAGTCAAGTTCCCAGTCTTATTCCCCAGTACAGCAGCACACACGAATACTGTAGTTCTCTTAAAAAAACAACACAGAAGGAAAAAGAAAGCCCCACTCACCAGAACAGTGGTGCAGATGGACCTGAGCTCAGACTCCACCTTCTCCCGATAGTCCTTGATAAGCTGCATCTTCTTGTCGCTGGTGTCTGTCTTCTGCTCGATGCTAGAGATGACCCTCCAGGCAGAGCGCCGCCCCCCCACTACGTTCTTGTAGGCCACTGAGAGCAGGTTGCGCTCCTCGTTGGACAGCTCGGCACCCTGCTCAGTTACTGCCTTCATGCAGGTGGCCATATCATCGTAGCGCTCAGCTTGCTCAGCCAGCTTGGCTTTCTGGATCAACTCGGTCTTATCCATGGTGGCTGGCAGCGGGGCAAGAGAGGTATAGTAGCAAAAGCAGGAGAAGCTGGGGATGTCACGCTATCAACGTGAGAACGCACCTCAAAACCTGCCAGAAAGAAGACAGCAACCATGACGCTAAGATAAAACACCACAGAACACAATCTTACGCCACCCCTCGCAACCCACCAAAAAAAGCAAGGATCACAGAGCCCCTTGCCTCCCCGTCACCAGGTGCTTCCCGCGGAGAGGTAGACTGCAGCATCCTGACTTTCCACCCATCTCAAAGGCTCACCCCTAAGGAAACCACGGCCTAGAAACCCAGTGGGGGAGGCACGCTCAGTGCTAGCCAAGGGACAGAGGCCTGCAGACCAAGCGCTGGAAATAGCTATTTTTCCATCGGAGCCGACTTTTTGTCCTCACCCTGCTTTTTTTTCTTTGCCTTATGTGAGCACATTCACATGCTAACAGGGGCCTGGAGAAGGATGCCATGGGGGGGCTGGCCCAAAGCCCTTCCCCCGTATGCCACAAGGGCCGCAAGTCCACATGAGGCGGATGCCAAAGCGGGGACAAGCGGGAAAGATAAAAGGAGCGAGACGGGCTCGCCCCTGGGGTGGCAAAGACGGGGTTAAACCCCAACGGGCTGGCAGAGCGGGCCGGGAGCCGCCTCCCTCGGGCACCCGCGCCCCGCAGGGCGAGCGAGGCCAGGGCAGCTCG